TACCCACATCTACCATAACAGAAAATGGAGTCTGTTGTTTCTGTCACTACTGAGGATTGTGTTTCTCTGATGCATTAACAAAAAAGGTCAATTTTTAAAATATATACAAAGCAGAAAGAAGTTTTCAAGACTTGCGTGAGATTCTGTTCAAGGTTAGCTCATCTGTGCTCATGTTAATAAGACATGGGAGCCTGGGTCGTTCAGAAGAGTTTACACTGTGAGTAGTGTTACACTTTCCAGGTACTGTTTATGGAAATTTTATTTTTCTTTGCTGACCTATCCCCTGTCCTGTGTTCCCAAAATATATTTAGTATGAAATAAAAAGTCATAGTGTTTAAAAGGCTTTTAAAATAATTTAATTGATTAAATAGAAAACTTCAGGATTCATTCACACGCACGTCATATATATAGATATATATAATCTCCATATCCAGCAAAAAAGCAATTGATGTTAAATGTCCACAATACCATCATTAATATCTGATGCATATGAGTATCCACCAGTGGTAAATATTCATAATAATTTCATTCTTAGCTGATGTGCGTGAATGTTACAGGTATTGGCATTTGAATTTCTTTTCACGGATTCATTAATATTGGTCAATTTGATTAACAACTATAATGAAAAAATGAATATTTATCCCTTCTCTTTTTTCTTACATGCTACTAATTCCTTTCATAATTAAAAGCTGTCAACTTAATTCCCCTTCTCCCCACCTTTTAAGAAAGTCAAAACCAGGAAGGGGTCCTTCATAACATTTTTTTTTATTACTAAAACTAATTTATATTGAAATTCTTGAAATCCCTTACCAGAATCTCCATCCTGCTACTTCTATGAGAAAAGGCTTGGATACCATTGTTTATGTATTGTGAATGATTCCATTATTTTCTTCATGTGGATGATAATGTCAGGCAAAACATGCAGACACTGAAACAGAAGTAGATCTAGCTTTAAAGAAACTGTCATTTCAGTCTACTGCACACAGTCTGCTTTTTGCTATGATAAAATATCTTGAATTAGACCAATCCCCATACTGAAAACAACTATAGAAATGGAACAAAATCAAATAACAGCTTGAAACTTTCAGAGAGTAATCAGGGGAACTGGGATGTGAGTACTCACACATTGTTTTGAGCCACACATTTTCTGTTTTCCTTAGCAGCATCTACTAATTTGTAAGGATCACAGAGATGATCAATGGGACAAAGAGCTGTAGATCAGTACTTTCAGGGATACGCTTAAAAGAATCATATCATGGTGATATATGTGCACCTATGTTTACAGAGGCACAGTTTGTAATAGCTAAAACTTGGAAACAGTCCATTTGCACGTCAGTTGGAAACTGGATAAAGATGTGGTTTTTCTATAAAATGGAATATTACTCAGCCATCAAGAATGAGAAATTAGAGTCATTCATAGGAAAATCGACACATATTGAGGATATACTCCTAAGTGAAATAAATGTCACATGTGTGTAAATACCGAATAGTTTCTCTAGTGTGAAAAACTATAATAGTACATAAGATCCAATGAGATAATTTACAATGTGAAATAGGAAGAAAAGGGCTAACTAAAGTGTAGGGAAAGTGGGAAGGGTAGGGGAAAGTTAATAAGGGAAAAGAAAAAAATATGAGAAAATGAAAAATGGAATGGTGAAGGGAGGGCAGGGACAAGGGGAAAAAATGAGAACAAGACCTGTCATGAGTGTATGCTGTACTGTATACCTAAAATGTACCAATAAACTCAATAAAAATGTAATTATTAAAAAAATGCAGGGGCTTAAACAAATTTCAGATCACTGAATATACTGTGCAACATCAGGGGAATTAAACAAGGGATTAGATAAATTCTGCATACCAAATTTCAGATTTAACCAATAGATTAAATTTTATGACTGAATTTTTCAAACAAAGTGTTTGATTAAAATGCTACTGGTTTTAAAATTCTACTTAAATCTTTCTATTAAAGAGAAGGAAGCAAATTTATCTATATTCAGTTTGAAGATAGTGGTTTATTACTCTAGGTTTTGGGAGAGCCTTTATTTATTAGAGCATTGCATGTTTATAGAACGAAAATAAAAGAAGTAATTTCTCTGAAATCTTGGTGATGACTAAAATTGCGTTGATGATTTTGTAAGAGGTCACAAACTAGATAGAAGATAAGCAGCCTGGATATGTCAGAAAAAGAAACAGTTGAGGAAGTGGTGAAAATGTTTCAAAAACCAGTCCTTTTTAGAGGATGTTAAAAAATAAATAAATAAATAAACTTCTTTCTCCTGTTCTCTGTTTTATGATGACCCAAGATCCCCATAAGTGTGTGAAGTGTTATGAAATGTAACATCTTCCTAGCAGTGTTATGTATCATTCTTTTGGCCCGGAGAATACACTTTGAACAACCAGCAGGTGTAAAATTTTTGAGGGAAAGTTTAACAGTCTTTATTAACCTTTTTCTGAGATGCACATCTTTGATATATAATGCAAAATATAGAATTTATTCAAGAAAAACAGAAAGTTACAAGTAATCACAAAGTCTGGCATGATATATTAGGAGTTTGAGTCTTTTAGAAGTACAGAGCCCATCCAGGGGCCAGATTATGAACCTCTGCTATATAGAAATTTTGTGATTTCTCTGCCTCTTCAGCACTTTAGGGAGGGAAAAAAAAGTACTGAAGGATTTAGAGAAAGACCTTTCTTGGTTTACAAATAGCAGCTCTAATTTTAGTTATTGATTTTATTTAATGTGTAAATGCTTGGAAGCTAGAAGCAATGGAAAAATAATGCAAAAAGAAAAAAAATTATGGTTATAAAATTCTTTTTTTCCAGAAAAGTTTATTTTTGTAAACAGTTGAAAAAGAATCTTGACATGATTTTTTTCAAAAGAAATCTGCACATGATGTCTAAAATTTGCCCTCACTATAAATTACTATTTTAATAAATTATATAATTCTAAATATAAAATTTAAAGTTATATTTTCCTGAGCATCTGTAAGGTGACTATTTTCACAGAACAAAATAGAAATATTATAAATATGAATTATTTAAAAATTAGTTTAACCAAAATAATTAGGTATATAAAGAGTACTGATGTTAATAATTTGGCAGCTATTAATATTAGGAGTCTGATGATATTGATTAATGAATTTAAAGAGAAAGCTTCAAATATTATTTGAAGTCATGACTTCCAGTATCATAATGGCTTTTTAGATAATTCAGAATAAAAAATATAAGCAGGAAATGTCTGCTTGAAATTTGTAGCTCACCAGATGACAAAGGAGGGAGCTGGGAGAAGGGAAGATTAAGAGGGGCATGAAATACTGAGCAGGAATACAAAAACAACCATTTGTTTTTAGGTCTCTAGGTTTTGTGTGATTTTGCCTGAAGGAGCAACCTTCTGTTTCACTTCTGGAAAATTTACATGTGTTATTATTTACGAATCATTTTTTCAATTTTCTCCCATATTTTCTATTAGATTTATGTTGAATGGTCTCTATCTTCCAAAGCTATTAAATCTTCCTTCTTATCTATATTCTTTTTATATATTGATAATTTTATATATCACGATAATTTTCTCATTTTATCAATATTATTCAATTAATTTTAACCTATAAGTCAATTTGTCCCTTGAATTTTCCTTTCAATAATTTTATTTCTAGAAGGCTTTTATTCTTTTCTAAAAATTTGCTTTTCTTTGCATCATGACATGCCCTGGTTTATAATATAGATATTTATGTATGTAGCTTCTTTTAGTTTGCATTTTCTTTTCTGTGTCTGTAGAGTTTCCCTTATCTAGGTTTTAGTGATTGTTTTCTTGTGATATTGTCATGCACAAGAATTGCTTTCTATGGGAATTCATTTTCCTTGAATTTGTATATAAGTTTTAAATATTTCACATTATTAGGCCATAAGATTTTTTGCTAGTTATAGAGCAAGTTTTGTATCAAGTTTTCAACTTTGGGTTCTGTCCTATCTGTAAATGTATACTCAGTGCCCATTTGAATTGCAAAACCAAACTGAATCTTGTGAACATACTGCTCAATTTCACACCTAGAAGGTAGAGTCTGCATGTGGCTCTCATAGTTTGGTGGGCAGAATTTTCTTTCCATTTCATGTGATGTAACCCTCCATGGTTCTAACCATTAGGGAAGGCAGCCAAGTTTCCACTCCCTTCCTCGCATGGTCTTGAGTCTCATCCCTTGTTAAGACTCTTAGGACAAGCTCTAGAACTCAGAACTTTTCATCCTTGCTTGATAGCACTGGAAACCACTTTGGCTTCATGAGTGACTGTCATTTAAAATTCTCTCTTTATATCTGGACATCGAGATTCAGGCTCAGTATTGCATTTTGTTAACAAGAAAAATGTTCAATCTTTCTATTCATTAGAAGAGGAAGAGAAATTGTTCTTTTGTATCATCTTGGATAGCTGTGTTGATCTAATATTTTTCCTGAGAAGTTCCTCAGTCTTACATAAGTGTGCCCTTTTCCCTTCACCTATTGTCTTGTTTTTCCAGGTAAATATGAATATAGATATTCTGTGTAGCTATATATGGTCTCCTGATATCCTGATAAGTCACAGTATATATTCTAGTGGTACTATTTATTCCAAGCTTACTATTTATTTTTCTCATGTCCAAGTATGAAACTTTATGTATATGCCATTACTTTTCACACTATGTATACACCTTGATTATTATTACTCTCAACTTTGAGGATAAGAAAATAATATATAAATATAATTTCATTCATTTACCCTGGGTTTTTAATTAATCACTGAATAAAACAGAAATAGAATTTTTCTAGTGTTATTTTCATCATGCTGATGAGGAATAGAACTTTTTTCTTGGCCAAAGAAAGTGACATGGGGAGAGGTAGAAGCCATCCATGTAGAGGCCCTTCAGAGCCTTTTCTGTCATACAATTGGATCTTGAACTATAATCTATTTTGCACACTCACTTATATTTTCACTCTCACTGTATTTTTTATGTGCTCTGGTATTTTCACAGCTGAGACAATGGAGTACCTTTGGATCCCTGGAAGAGACACCTGATGTTAAATTAGAAACAAGGCTGCTCTCAGTGGTGGCAGAAGATGATTGTGAAATTCTTAAAATCCCTGCAAAGGATTATGCAAAGTTAAAATTGGTATGATGTCCATATACTTTTAAAAATTTGACTTTATCTGGAGAACATAAAAATGTGCTTTATTTGGCAAACATCTCTGAAGTGGTCTCTGGTTTTGCAAGGTACTAGAGATGAAAACAAAGTTCTCTATGAATATACGTTGCATATGTTTCTGCATGTCCTTTGGTTTTCATGAATTTCAAACTCATTCATTCATTCAAGAAATAGGTATTTTGGGTGTCACTGCTCTCCAAATCTCTACAGTTTTTGTCTTACTTCAGAGTGACAGCAGGCATCCCAACTCAGACCTACATGAACAGTTGATCACAACTCAGTTCTCATGCCTGAATTTTGCTGCTTTACCTATGTAAATTTGTTTATTGGCTTACTAGTTAAATTCAAACTTTTTCCTTTCCCTGTGTGTATTTCTTTGGATATCAGAAAAAGTTGTTCTGAATGATGTGATTAGAAGGTCCCCAAGGTCCTGCTCTCCCAGCTGGTCTCATCAGTCTGCAAGCCTTATGTTCGGAGCTGGCAGGCTGGGTGCTCATGTTGTCTAGAGTTTGAGAGACATCCATCTTCTTCATCTTCTTCCATCAGGGCTCTAATGGTGGGAATTTCCTTTGATTTGGTGGTATCATGAACAGTGCTACAGATGACTTTTTCAGAATTCAATTTTTGAATCCTTATAGCAATTTGTTTCAATTTTCAGGGGATTGTCATTAGAAAAATATGTTCTATTTATTTTATTTCCTAATATCAGTATTATTGAATATCGAATGAGTTTTGGGTTCAGTTTTCTATGACATGGTTTTTAAAATGCTATAATTTATAGAAATATGAATCATGAAAGAAAGGTGTAAAAATATAATTTTAGTAGCAGATCTGAAGACTGAAATTTCATTATGTCTATGTGATCATATAAAGAAAACCTAATAAAATTGTGATCTGTTATATATTAACTTATATTTACATAATTTTTCTTTGTCTGCAATTTCTCTATTTGCTATTGTTTCATTTCTTTAAGATTACCTACTACTGGAAATTTGATCACCGTGATCTTTTTCAGGAAAAAGCAAAACTTGAAAATATACACAAGATGAAATTAATCTGTAACTGTCCTTATTATGAGGAGTGGCCTACTTTATCCATATGTGAGCTAACTGCACTTATTAAATGGAAAAAATTTCCTGCGGGTCATGGTGAGTGAAGTGTAGATCATTTTCTTTAGATAATATTATATTATTGGAATTTATAATTCTTCACAATTTTAATATTTGTTAATAACATTTCTTTGACTAGGCAACCTCTAGTGATTCTTTGAATTTGACACTGAGATGACTGTTTTCCTGTGTTTTATTAAACACGACATTGTTCTGACTTGAGAACTTGCCTTGCTTGCCTGTCTATGTCCCTCGACAGTCCCATTCCTTTTGCCTTACCCTGATACTTACACTGAGGACTTAAGTGAAAAGGAGAAAAGCAATAAGTGGTTATAGTCTTTTCCTGTCCTGCTTGTTGGACAACTACTTAAAAGCAAGTTTACTAATCTGCATCTGTGCTACATTTATCATTGGAAAAAATTTTTTTAATGCACTAATGTTTTAACTGAGTCCTGACATATGAGATCAGGTGTGGAATTTCTCCATGGGCATCGTGTTGATATTAAAAGATTTTGAACTTTGGAGCCTTTTGGATTTCAGGTTTCTGAATGAGAGATGTTCACTTGTGCAGAAAATTACGTGAGGCCTAGTAAAGAGGAAATAGCAGTGAAGGATCTATCTTTCCGTATTTAACATGGTAATGATGTGTAGAGTTCCTGGGGCATGTGTACACAGATGTGTAGGTGGTATTGAGTCATGCTGCAAAAATTTAACAGCTGTAAGGAGCAACTCAACATGAATGCCAGCACTGAAAGAACTGTGGTAAGAACGATCAGGGCATTAGATCTCCTTCAATAGGGAATGACTTTTGCCTCACAAGATATGGTTATAAACAACAGAAGGAGGATTATGACCTTGCCTTGCTCTCCCCCCAGTTCAGTAGAGGATAGTAGTGGAGTACCTGACTGTACTGGGAGAGGTTTCAAAGAAATAGTCTAACAGCCACAACTGTAGTTAGGGACATTCCTAATTTAAAGATTAAAGTTCTATAGAAGGATGGGTCTGAATTATAGATTCGGGAGCAATTTAAGTAATTACAGGAAGCCATGAGATCTGGCTAAGATATGCTTGGAGGGGCTGTTAATCAAGTTAGGGTCAGCTTAGCCCTGAAACAGCTAGTTTTTTTGTTAGAAAAATGTAGATAACAAGAGACAAAAGTTTATGCTTCAAAGAATAAACCAGGTGAATTTATTAAGAACATATTTTCCCCATATTCCCAAATTCTTTTCCATGCTTATATTTATATTTTATCATTTTTAAATATAGTATTTAACCCATGATTAGTCAAATATATGTATTTCTTTCTTATAAAAATTGAAAAGAGTAATATTTAATTCATGAAGTATTTTTCTAAATGAGGTAAAAATGCCAATATGAAAGACAAGTATTAAGTTGACTTATAAGAATGGAAATTAGCATTTGAAAAGTTAGAATATCTGTAGCATGCATAGAATTAGTTTTTTAAATGTGTATATTTTGGATTATAGGTCTATTCTTTGTATCAGAAATATTAAATATTATTTATTGTTACAAGAGTCATTATGTATAAAAAGGTGCCTCAACCTTGTCAATCTATCTTTATATAAATATAATTGATGTGATTATAAAGGAAAAATGAAATCTAAAATCTTTGAGCCAAAAGAATATGAAATTTGGAAAGTATGATTCTGTGGTTTTAATAATATTTGATATTCTCACTACCTAAAACATTGCTATAAAACACTTAAATTTAGAGTGAAAGATTGAAAGGCAGTAGATACAATGTATTTATTCTTTAATATTTAGTTTAATAATTTTTGATAACTGACTTGAAAAGCAATGGGAGAATTTGTTAAACTATGAGATTGGAGTATCTAAGCCTACATTGAATAAGTACAAAATATATTTGCACTGAATCCTAAAAATATAAATGTATGGTGTTTACATTTATGCAGTTCTAGGAAACATTCATTCTTTTTAGAGAAGAATAACATTTCACCCGACGATCACTAAAGGCCTTTTCAGCACTGAATTACTATGGTTCTTATAAATAAACATATGTAGGTGAAGAATATGTCCTGTCAAACTAATTTTATTTTCTTTTGAGGTAGTGACAAACTTGATATATCAAAGAGGAGCATAAATTTTAACGCTTCTTGAATTTATATAAATTCATTTTGATTATCATGGAAAAAGTGATATGAATTATTGTGAAAAACGTTTGAGTTATCATAAAAAAAATGTAGAAAAGGTAGCTCAAATTATACTTTCATTATCTGGGTTTAAAATGAATAGTATTATGACTTCCAAAGGACGATGATGTGCTTTTTGCTCTTATTTTAAGAATTTATATTGGATAAAGTTTCAGAGGGATTTAGTTAATTATTCAAAAGCTTAATCGAGTTTAAGCTTAATCCTTGGCTATCTTTGAAACGGCTAAACTTGTTTCTAGCTCTATTTTCGTTGTTAACTTCATAAATTTTCCTACTTTTGATTCATATGCCAAAGGAGCCTGACTCTCAGGGATGTTGCAATCTCAGCCTGTCCATTTTGTATCACATCCCAAATCCTCCCAGGTGTTTTTCTTCCAGTGTGTGGCTGACTGGATCATAGTAGTTAGTGATCGTCTAATCAAGCTGTTCTCAGATGTGTCATATATATAAAACAAAGTAAGTTTACCTGGCAAATATTTAACTACCTATGTGGATTTCTTTTGTTATTTTGCACTGGTTGGTAGGCTCCATTTTTCTCTGGGAAGAATTTGATATAACAAACATGGTTATTAGAGAAACTGAATAAAATCACAATTTGTTTAGTTCTAAAAGATAAAGTATGTGTAAATAACAATGATAATGATAGTAAAAGAGTTATCTGTCTTCCCAAACCAGAAGTGGAGTGTTTCCACATAGAATACGCATCTTGAAGTTCCGTCTAAAGTGAGACTGAAGTTCTGTGGTCTCAATCTCCAAGTTATTTGACATCACTCTTTTACAAATCAATTTAACTTCACAGGTGATCAAAACTCTTAGTTTCAAATGATACTCTTGTATATCTCAAAATCAGATTTGCACCTCAAAGTAACTGTTGTCCAAGTCCCTGGGATCATCTACTGGCCTCTTGCTTAGTTAATATTTTTTAATGTATTAATTTGTTTAATGATTTTAACTAATTTTTTTCTTCTTTTTGTTACTGGGTATTGAACTCAAGTCCTTGCGCTTGCGAGGTAGGTGATAGAACTACTGAGCTAAATCCCCGGCCCAATTTTAACTAATTTTTTATTTTCTTAATGATTGCTTTAGAGCTTACCATATAATTCTCAAGTTTTCTGAATCTACTTGAGTTTTTTTTACTAACTCCCAGAGATAAAAGTCACTCTTACACTATTCTATTTCCTTTTCTTTTCTCTGTATTATACATGCTGTATCTATATCTGTTATAAACCTAAAAACAAATACATTAATTTTTATATCATTTTATATAAATAAACAGAAAAGACAGCAAATATATATATGTGTAGTGTTTGCTATAGTAAACATTTTATTTACTGTTTCTAGTTCTAGTTATTTACTTCTGTAGAGTTGAGTTGTCTTGTGATGTCTTTTCCTTAAACCAGGGTAAGTTTTCTCATACCTAACTTCCCATTCTGATTTGGCTTATATATTACATGATCCTATGTGATAAAGACAATGATATTACATACATTTTAAAAAATAATCTCTCTTTAAATTGGATAGAAAAGGATAGGAAATATGCATTTATCTTTCCTTTTATAATTGCATATTTTCCTGTAGAGGCGGCTTATCATTTTTCATGTAGACACAAAATACTGCGCTAACCCATGGTGGCTCGTTTTTGGCTTAAGGGATCTTCCTTAGTATTTCTTGTGTAGAGTGTATGGTAGCAACTCATATTCTCAGGTTTTGTTTAACTGTGATCTCCTTTATTTCTCCTTTACTTGTAAAAGATACTTTTGCTGGGTATAGGATTTGTAGTTGATAGCATTTTTGTTTGTATATTTGAACATGTTGTCCTGTTGTCTTCTGGCTTCAATTATTATTTCTGAAGGAAGTCAGTGGTTAATATCATTAGGATTATCTGTGACATGGTGAGGTTTTCTCTTGCCACTTTTAATAATTCCTCCTTGTGTTTTGCCTTTCAAGATGTGTCTCTTTGCTCTATCTTACCTAGCACTAAAACGTTCTGTCATCTGTTTTAAACTCTGTATTTGCTTTCCTGTTGCTGAGACACAATACCTCCACAGCTTACGGGAGGAGAAGTTTAATTTGGCTCATGATCTCAAAGGGGTTCAGTCCATGGTCAGCTGATGCCAAGGCCGAAGTGCCACCGCAGACCTGGGAGAGTACAGATGCTCAGCTCACCAGCTGTGAAGCAGAGCGGGGCAGTAGCCCCATGGAAGAAGGAGCAGGGACCAAAAATAAGAGGCCAGGGTCACCTCTCTTGTGGCCCATTCCAGGCACACCTAAAAGTGTGTTTCACCAACACTCCAGGAAGACCCTTAAGTAAACCAAGTTCACATGAATTCTTCTTATTCTCCTTCTCTTTTCAACCTCTCCTGAGTCTTTATTCTGACCCATATTAAAATTTTCTTGACATTCATCTGCTTAGAAGTATTCCATGCCTCCTCAATTTTATCAGAAAAAAGTATTTAAAATCCTTAATGTAATTTAAAAGGTTGTTTGGTTGCTTGTTTCCTGTCTATACTTCTGTCTCCAAGTTTGATATGAATCATTTTTCTCCTTTTTGTTTCAGATGTTCTGGAGATTTATTAGTTCTTCAACCAGCCAGGCTTTTATATAGGCTGATCCTTCTTCATGGAAAAATTCTGTTACCCTTATTTCACTAAACTCATGTAGTAGGATAATTTTTCCTAAACCAATTTAACTTCTTCTGCTGTCTTTCCCCTAGAGATAAATCTTCATCTCATGTCTGAGGGATCAGCAAACAATTTTCTGCAAATGAAAAGACTGTAAATGTTTTAAACTTTTCAGGTTATACACGGTCTCTTTTGCGTATTTCACTTCTTTTCAAAACGTTTTTAA